GAAATACTCGATTATTCGCATGGTCGTTATATCAGAGCATATAAGAAAGTCATCCTACAAAAGTAACAGTCAAATCGAAATTGGTTCGGATTTAACGATATTTCAAAGTCGATTGGTGTTAACTAACCCCACGCACCTGAGGTACGATGCACTGCCCGGTCCCCTACTTCTGGTTCTCGCTTGAAATTTATCATGTCTTTAGCTCCAGTGTCAGTGCTATTCAAATTTTATGGTGGCTGTGAAGTTATACAGTGGAACTCGGTGAGAAGATCGATGACGCAGGTGGTCCGCGCGTTCGGCCTGCGATCGTGGAAGATAAGCAACTTTCGCATGGTCGGTTGTTGGATGGATGACCAAAAGCTTATTATCTCGAGCTCCTCCGTGCTTAGTAAGGCACGTGAAACTGTTGGTCCCAGCTGCATCTGCAGTCGTTAGACTGTATATGAAAAATATAAGTATATCCTTATTGGGTGCTTTGTATCATGCGCGTGTCAATCAGTCCATTTTCTATCCTATGCATCCACCTGATCGTATTAAGCTTATTTGAGCTCACTGTTAACTCCATCAGCATCAATTTATTAATATCCCCACTCCTAAGGCACTGGTCTATTCTATGCATGGCATAGGTAAACTGGGTCGTGACCCACCATAGGTGCAGCCGGGACCAATGACTTAACGTGCTTTCCGAAATACGGAGGAGCTCGAGATATTAAATTTTTGGTCACCCATCCAATGACCGACCACTGCGAAAGTTGCTAACTTCAACGATCGTAGCCGAATGCGCTAACAACTTGCACCATCGAGCTCCTCTCCTCCTTCTCTCATCAAAATAATAGCGATATGTGCGCCAAATTTCAGCGCAATACGTTTAGTGGTTTGAGCTGTGCGTTGATAGCTCAGTCAGTCAGTAACGGTTATCATTAACAAAAAACAGATTACTGTAACCATTCATGAGGTGGCAAATCGAATATCCTAAACAGCATCGACATAGAATTTCACTACTGCCTGTCAAAAAATCTATTCAAATTTAGAATTCCTTATATTTATTTAAGCCATTACGAATATGGCCAGTGGTATTAACGTCACAATAAGTTATAGGAATTCTCTTTTGTAAAGGCTCAGTTAATCCAAAATATTTGAATTTGGAACAGCTATTTTTAAATTTAGAACTGGTTATATGTTTTTACGGCCAGTGGTAGCGGCGTACACAAGCGTGTCCTATTAACCACGTGTCCGTTCCGTACCTGCACCTGCGCCCGCCGCGCTGGATGTCCACACCAACACTGGCCGCCTTTACGTAACTTAGATTCAATTTCCCAATTTCGGAATGTGTTTGTGCTGCGCTCGGCCTGATTCATGGGCTATGAATGCGGAGAACTATCCGTCCCCCATTAGATAAGTACCACACAAAATTTTTATTTGAAATCGAAATCGCCAAAGTTGGCTGCGTTTTTTTATGTTGAAATGGTGGTAAAGAAGCGTATAGCCCGCTTAATGGTATGCAGCTATTATAGCCTGTAGACGCTTGCGATTATCATCATCATCATCATCAGCCTATTAATGTCCTCACTGCTGGGGCACAGGCCTTCTCTATGGATAGAATAGGGAGATTGCGATACCTACGCTAAAAATTTCACTCGTACCGTTGCCTATCCTGACTAGGGTTGCCACCCGTACTCTATAATAAATTATTATACTTTTTTTCGGGTAATTTTACTCTATACTTTATGTCATGTCGTGTCATGTAATGTGATTTTTGATAGTAAGAATTTTTAGGTAAAACGGACAGAAAGTATGAATATGTTGCCCTTACCTAATTTCTGCAACATTTTCGTGGCTGTATGACTTTGTATCATAACCTTTCCCATTGCGGAAAAAAACTACAGTTGCCGCAAATTGATTTATTAAAATTTGCTAGTAGCAACGTAAAATATATTTTTAAGCTTACTAATGAAGTGGAATAAAAAGTATTTTATTTTGGACACAATGTACTTTTATTTTCTACCTTTAATATCCAATGTACTTTATTTCAACAAAAAAAAGGTGGCAACCCTAATCCTGACCCAATCCCCTAGCCCGTGGAGCCCTCTAATCTCACTCACTGACGGAAAGTTATCACCAATAAAAGATACTGTGATCAACTGTAAGGTGGAGGTTACTTCCCCAGTCGGGCGCTCCAATTCGAGCGGAAAATATGCCCTACCTCTCTTTGTGTGGTGCGCAGGGTAAGCTGCATTTTGATTTTACACATCCGTGTGACGTAATTGTTGGATGGCAAAATTTGGTGAAACGATGTATCGTCGTTGGTCGATGTCTGGCATCGTCATCATACGTTTCAATATTAGATTTAGATCGCGTAATCCCACCAATAGGGTATGTGCTTTGCAAATTTATAACAATTACACGTCCTTTTATAATCCTATCATAAATATGGTGTCGTCTAAACGATAACCTGCATAGGGATCATTCTTCCTTGGACATTTTTTGTCGTCGGCTTCGTGAATTTAGGAAAGAAATCGAAAGATTAATATTTCCTTACCAAAAAAATAAATAAAACGTCAATTCCTTTGTGCTTTTGCAAGTTTTTAATTGTAGAAACTTGAATTTAAATATTTTTTTTTATGTAAACTTCAGCCCATAAAATTTTAACGGTATCTGTTGAAACTGCTAAATGTTTAAGGATATTCTACTTGAAAAATATACTTTTATTTCCATCTGATACCTGTACTTAGCGGATTTTTTTCGAGTAAAATTTTATTTACTGTAAAAAAGTATTTTCATTCACATAATGCACTCGAGCGAAGTACGAAACGCTTGTAATTAATAAAATGTTATTTAATATAAACACAATATGATTTATGTTTCCAGTATCGGGGGTGCGAGCAATCAATAAAAATCGGATAAATCAATTCCAAAGTGAGACATTCTCAGATCACAATGGGGGTAAGAAGATGGATGGTAGCATCGTCACATCGTGAATAAAGTCAAGAAAAAAAACGGTCAAGGCAGAAATTTATTCAAAGTGTTGTTCGATGTTATTTTTTTTAAAATAGATAAGTCTCTTTTTTTATTTTTCTGTTCGCTCTGTGTAGGAAGTCAGGGTCATTTGTACCAACATTCTTAAATCATGTTAGCGCGTATGTCCTGCGTTTAACACATCACTCCATCGTTGTCAATTCTTATACTCGTTGTTAAACAGAGATAGAATGAGGTTTGACCATAATTAGTGTATGACCAAATAGTAAACAGAAACCCTAAGTACTTATTACTGTACTGATTTGTATTTTTAAATAGATGGCGTGAAATTGATGTGAATCGCGGTAGCGTTTAATTGCAGCAATTTATCTAGGTCTTCATTAATGCGATGTATTTGAAATCCGAACTTTCCAATAAAAGTGCGAAACTTTTCGTTTCATTTTTAAAACACACGCTCATGCCAATCCTTGGAGTGTGTCGAATAAGCTTTTTGGTGAAAGTGGGTGTAAAAGACACCCGGGACGGTCAAACGGTTTGATTCAACCTTACACGTGTTTGACGAAACCGTTCGATGTCGGTTTAAAAGGTTGTCAAACGGCATAACGCAGTTTGGTTCGTTACATCGCCATAATAAGACTTGTGATTGTGACGCAGACATATTGTGAGATGGCTTCGAACAAGGATCGCGATTTCCTCGTATTTATTAAGTAAATGTCCTTAGTATTTACAGAAAAAGTAAAAAAAAACGTGTGTGCTTATGACGTGTAGTCATAAGCACACTGACTGAAGTGAAACTTCTCTAGCTCTATCTGTATGTATATATATTTATATATGTGTTTACAATATATACGTGTATGTAAATATACATATTTCATTTACTAGCTATAAGAGAAAGAAATCCCCCACTCAACTCCCATTACGAAAAGTGTGATCGGGCGGATCACACTTTTCGTAACGCGTTCGCCAGCTTCCTCCCCAAACGTACGTAAAGAAGTTTCACTTCAAAAAACGGCAAACTACATAAATATGAAATTTCATCAAACAAGCTCCAAATACGCTAATGTTTTACATATCGACCTTTGAACACGATTATAATGATTTGCGTCAAACCAAAATCTACGTGTTTGAACCAAAGCGTTTGAACGTCTCGGGTCAGGTTTAGAATCTTTTTAGTCATCGGAAATGACGTCACACAAGTTATAGTCGTATAGACATTATTAAATGCGAAAGTGTGGCAATTCATGACGTCATGTTTGCAGCTACGATAAATCCGTACGCAGTGTTAAATGGAAGGCAATAAACTCTAGTCATTTTTATAGTTCACTTGCAAACGTACAATCAACGCCATGGAAGTGGTTACACTTGTACTAAAGGTGCAAAAAATACAAACGCTGTTTAGGTCAATTGACTATTCAGTCAATAAAAACAAGCCAATAAAAATGAAACAAACAAACAATTATTTGCAAATTCAGACGACGCATCCTGAAAACGATGCGAAACTATACCGTTGAATCTTGTTTAATTTAATGAGTGGTGTGCGAGAAACCCTAAGAAACAAATAAGCCACTAAAATTAGAAATAATACATTTTCTCTACTTAAGTCTGAAGTAGAGAAAATGTATTATAAAACTATCTTTAAAGTTAAATTAATATTTGGAGTGGGTGCCATGCATGAGATCTGAGATGCCATTTGCTACTTTGGTTGGCATGGCACCAACTCCAAATATTAATTTAAATTTAAAGGTACTTTAGACTAACGTAAAGAAAATGTATTATTTCTTGATTTTTAGTGGTTTTGTTTTTATGAAGTAGATTTTCATTTTTGTTAAACAAGATTTTATTTTTTCACTTTTTATAAGCTAGAGCAACATCAATTTATTAAATATAGATGTCTGGGCTGCAATCTCTCTTTCATATTACAAAAGAAAAACCAAACACGATATGTGCACTGTTCGTGTTTAAGGAGTTCCGTTATTTTAGTTTTAGTTGCTTCACCAAATTAAAGAAACATCAAAATCGGTTTACTAACCTCGGAGATATGCGCGAACGACATCTCTAAGGACTCCCCCCCCCTGGTCTCACACATGTCTGGACGGTGCCCCGGTTCATGACCTCGAGGCCTGTTCCTAGTTCTCCCTTTACAGTCTGAGCCGGGGAGAATATTAAATAATGCACTCATATAATAACCACCCTCAAATAATGTAATAAATGACAATAACTCAATCAGTAAAAAAAGCAAAAATATATAATGAAGAATTGAGAACCGTCTCCTTTTTGAAGTCGGTTAAAACACATTGCAGACTGCGCATTCAGCGTTGTATAGAATACCTAGGCAAGGTATAAAATGAATAATATTTCATACATCGCCTTGATGTTTTAGGCATACTATACATTGCCGAGATATTGTATATACAATACAGAAGTATACAGATTGCAGATAACATATGCACAACCAATGGGTAGAAGAGATATAAAAGCACCCGATTTGTGATTTTCACCATCCGCCAGAGGAACCCCAAAAAGTATTCAATAACAAATCTGAACTGAACCTGTCCATCACAGGCGGGAGGGATGTTATTGGCAGATATTTAAAGCAAAATAAAAAGGGGGAAAACGGGATTGTGGAAGAAACGTAATTTTTTAATAACATTGAAACGTGTGCAGTTTTGCGTCCTGTATTTTTTTATATCTTCCATGTTGGACTGGGACAGTAAGAAAAACATAAAACGTGTTAGCTTACCATTCAAGTGTAGACAGTTAATACGTATCAACGGATAGGACATATTTGTAAACTGTTGTAGATATATAGACACGGTGACATCACAATTTCGACATTCATTGGAAAGTCGAAATTGTCATGTCTCAATGTTAACGGACGCCATATTTTTAGGGCCGTCCATATAAAATTACGACTCCCGACCTTGAATAAAAGTAGAAAAAAAATACTGTAAAACTTTTCGCTATCAATTTATTGAAAAGCCAATTTGTGAAAACAGAAAAACACGAGCACACCCTACGAATTGAATACCTCGTACAGATGCATCCGCTCGCAAATATCTTTGTATTCGTAACTCCACCAATGTCTGAAATTTGCATAGTTTTTGTGCGTTTCTCGTTCGTTCGCGTTCAGCTTGGTGCACAGATCGCATACGTCCGTTCTGTGTTTTGTAGCGTAATAATAATGATTTTTCCAATCAAAGAAGTAGCGGTACACCTTAGGAGTTTTTATTAGGTAGTCCACGAGCGCTCCCAGTTTCTTAATGTCGAAGGCGCGCACGTTGACATATGATCCTGGCGGTATGAATCTGTTAACAAATTGAATTTAGCTTTAATGTCGAAACCTTTGATTTTTATACGCCTATCCAAACAAACCACGCAAAGAAAATGGTTCATGTAACGCGCAATGTGTGCGTGTGTAGCGACGAGCATATGTACCACAAGTAGTAGATATTTTTCCGCCGTTTCCGTGCAGTTGATACGGTATCTAGGGTATGTAATATAATCAAAAGTTTAAACAAAAACCCAATGGCGATCATTGTAATCCTACTAATATTATAAATGTCAAAGTTTTTATGTTTGATACTCAATCACGAAAAAATTCTGATCGGATTTGGATTAAATTTTGTACGCATTTTGTTTATGACCTGGATTGAGACAAAGGAAACTTTTTATCCCGGAAAGTGTTAGGTTACTATGGGATTTTCAAAAAACTAAAGTTGACGCGGACGAGGTCGCAGGCCGCCGCTAGTTTTAAAATATTCATCCCGCTTTGTTTAAAACATATCATATTTATTTCAGAATTTATTAATCCATGATTTCAAAACTTAAGCAAGTTTGGTAACACTGTATTGCTTTAGAGCATTTAGAACTAAAACCGTCCAAATCCTTATAGAATATAAAATAAAAATAATTATATATTATAATCGAAGTCAAATACATTACTTCTCAGCGGCATTAAATTCTAATATTAAAATTTGTAACGAGTCAACGGTAGCCATGATTTAAAGATTTCGAAGGCAGACGAGCCGCGTCCATGGCCTAAGTTTATCTAATTATTACTATTATCAGCAGATTCTCTTGTAGTCTGATATGATTACTTCTCACTCTACTCAAAAACAATATAGCTTACCTTCTAAAATCAGCATCGCCAAGAACAATAGGCACCGTGAATAAATTTAGTGCCTTCCCAATACCTTCAGTAATATAATCTTCGACAGTAGATTCTTCTAGAACTAATTGGAAGTAATAATCTCTCTCAGCCAATTTGTAGCACTCGTTCAATTTACTACTCGGACACTTATTGTCCCCACAAGATCCAAACGTATCTATCGTGTGATTGTATGCCTTTAACTCTTGTCTTAATTCGTGGACAAAATCTTGAAATTTATGTTTCAATCGGCATTTGTTAATAATCCATATTACAGCTCTGTCTTTGAATTTAAACTTATTTCTTGCCACAGTACTATGCTTCATAGTTTTAATCCAGGTCATGTTGATTTTTGGCCCAACCAACATGTTATTGGAATCGTAAATGTTAAGAAAAGGATGAGGTATATCAGAATTGAGCTTATACGTCCATGTCCAATTAAAGAAATTATCGAAAACAGGATTACATACAGGCTGGTTATCAGAGGATTCGTGGGATCTGAAAATGAACCTCTGGGAAGGAGATCTGGTGAAATTGAAATAGTTCACTTTAAATCTACTGATGTCGTGTACATCAAAGACAACAGCGTCAAAGTTACTTTGATCTCCATCCAATAAACTGGCATTGTAAGATATGTAGCAGTTGATATGAGGACAATTTTGTTTTATAAATGAACTCTGGCCAATTTCAAATTCACTTACGGCCTTGACGTGAAACGATTTAAATTTCTTCACCTTTGGGTGGTTCCAGAAAAGTATGTATTTTAAATCTGGTGCAAACCTCACATGACGTTGATTCAATTGAATTTTCCTCTCTCTGATTATGAAAGGCACAAGCGACGATAAAAGCGCAAATAGAAACAGTGCCGTCAACAAACAGAATTTTATCGCATTCGCCTTGAAGTTGCCCACAAATATCATATCTTTGATATAGTATGTATACATTTCGGTCAACTTTGTTCGTTTCATTTCAATTTGTCTATTTTATTACACTTAATCGATGGTCATGACTGAAAGTTGCTTCGAACTGATATGAAGAGTTCTAATTGCATTTGTCATTGTCTTCACACACGTATCCGGTTTATACTGTGAATATTTTTCATTTTTCTTGTTAAGAATGTTGTATTATTGACATCTTTGTTTGTATAATCAACAGTCACGCAGTGATTTTCCTTTAAATCATGACAGTATTTGATGAGCATTTCAAAAGCACAGTTCATTTGAATCGCCATATTCGACATTAATCAAAAATGGTAACAATGGAAAAGTTACACGAAATTGTGCTAACTTCGGGTGTGTGCTATCGTGCTGGGTAATTTATGCGTTTAATTCGGCAATATAAAGTAGCGAATTTAACCGACTGCCGTATGAAAAACTCGTTTTGGTACTGCCATTAATTTATGACTAAAAATATATTTCACGAGCGCGTAATAATGGTCCATGTGTCGCAAGCCTAATGCACGGAGCCTTAACGTTCAAACATGATTTATTTTATGATTTCCTAGGGAGTTTGTGCTCACAAGATATTTATGCTTTACTACTGTTTGCAATGTTGCTTGTTATGTTCGTGAGTAACGTTTCTATTTATGACTTTATAACTGTAGTTTATTTGGTGAAATAATCACCAATGATAATTATGATAGTGATGACAAATCGAGAAGTATATAAGTGTACAGCTGATTGAGAAGGCAATAAAAATAAAATTTCTTCTTTATCGAATACCTGAATAAGTGTTTTTTTTTTTGGATTTTTAACGGCATTTGCCGCTTTGGTGGAAAGATATAGAAAGCGCCAAATTATTACTTCGCAAACAGAGAGTAGTACTTAAAATGAAAATTTTGGCTTAATCTATTTTTTACCATCTCAAGTGATTACGATTAAGATATAACCGCATTAAAAATCTAGATTTTTTTCAATCACAAAATCTTTACTAAATTTGTAAAGACACGTTATACAAAACATACTGGAGGAAATGGAGTTGTTTATAACCAAAACATTTGCGTTAACATTTGCGTTCATTACCAGCGGGTATATTTATAAAGTGGATTAACGGCAGCGAGGAGCGGTTAAGTCTTGCTTATTTTCTGTTGTTACGCCTCAAATTGTCGACACTCGAGTACAGATTAGCTTCGTTACCCCGCGGAGCGCGTACCTGTTTAGTGATGTGCAACATAGTAGGTATCGATAGTTTTTATCTTATCTTAATAAAGTCATTTTAGGGGTTATATATTTTATTTATCGATAAGTAAAGAGAGTAATTATTTGTCAAAACATGACCAATAATTACAGCATACAAAACTTTATACGTATAAATGGTAGATTTCCGGGCGATTCTTATCGCTTAATAAATTACCTACCTACCTACCTAGTCAAAAACAGGTCAAGTTATTCAAACTGTCCATTCACATTGACTTATTTTTTTGTTAAAAAAGGCGGAAAGAATTACCGCCCTCCAATATTAATGGGAAATAGAGACCAGTTGTAAAAATAGTTGATGCATCAGAAATATGTGCCGCTCCTCCTATCTTCACCTTGCCAGTTGGAACCCAACTTCCTAACGAATCGGGGCTTCTCGAGCGGAAAATCAGCTATATCTTACCTTCCGAAAAAGTTTGCGACTTATTGATCCAATAGCAGCACTCCTTTAGTTCCAAAAGAACCGATGTGTGATAAAAACATTCATCGATACCTAATTTCAGATCAGAAAATTGTGTATCGATCTATAGAGATCGCGTCGCGTCCCTAAGTTTCCAAGTGGTCGCGCGAGGAAGCTGGCGGAATAATGATTTCTTTGAATCCCCACTGTTTGGAGAGCTCACCATTACTGGCTCTCAGATACGTTTGTGCTCTGTACTTAATAGCGATCGCGATGCTCTAATTGTTTTCCTTGCCTTTGGAGTTATGAGACCTTTTATTTCGTGTTTTACAATACCGCGTGGCGTTCAATTTTTTTTTATTCGTATACCATTGTATAGGGACGTTTTTGGACAATGGTTTTCACTTTGTTAGGTCTACAAAGTTGTTTGTGTTTTCGCTAGTCTGCATGCTGCATGTTTATTGAGCAGACGCACATTTTTCACGGTATATTTTTAAATAGAGTTAATGACAATAACTAAGAGACTTAATTAAGACACTGGAGGGTCAGTCAACTGTCAGAATATCGTCCACCATAAATCAAAGGTTTAAGCCATATTTTTTTTTGTATTAGGATTAATGTTATAATTTTTATTATTTTTAAAGCATGTAACTGCTTGATGTTTAAATCTAAAGAAAATATAACTAGAAAAAATTTCCACGCGGACCAGGCAGCAGACGGGACTCGAACCCGCACCCTTCGCAATCCGGGCGAATGCACTGACCAATTATGCTACCGCGGCCCTCACGGACCGCGTCGAAATTCTTCTAGCCATTCTTAAGCTGCAAGGCAGCGCCATCTCTTCGCATTATAGGTAACCCACAATGTCAAATGAATACTTTTACAAGTATTAAACATTTGAAAGATGAAATAGCAATTATAGTTATAATTTTTATTATTTTTAAAGCATGTAACTGCTTGATGTTTAAATCTAAAGAAAATATAACTAGAAAAAATTTCCACGCGGACCAGGCAGCAGACGGGACTCGAACCCGCACCCTTCGCAATCCGGGCGAATGCACTGACCAATTATGCTACCGCGGCCCTCACGGACCGCGTCGAAATTCTTCTAGCCATTCTTAAGCTGCAAGGCAGCGCCATCTCTTCGCATTATAGGTAACCCACAATGTCAAATGAATACTTTTACAAGTATTAAACATTTGAAAGATGAAATAGCAATTATAGTTATAATTTTTATTATTTTTAAAGCATGTAACTGCTTGATGTTTAAATCTAAAGAAAATATAACTAGAAAAAATTTCCACGCGGACCAGGCAGCAGACGGGACTCGAACCCGCACCCTTCGCAATCCGGGCGAATGCACTGACCAATTATGCTACCGCGGCCCTCACGGACCGCGTCGAAATTCTTCTAGCCATTCTTAAGCTGCAAGGCAGCGCCATCTCTTCGCATTATAGGTAACCCACAATGTCAAATGAATACTTTTACAAGTATTAAACATTTGAAAGATGAAATAGCAATTATAGTTATAATTTTTATTATTTTTAAAGCATGTAACTGCTTGATGTTTAAATCTAAAGAAAAATTTTTTCTAGTTATATTTTCTTTAGATTTAAACATCAAGCAGTTACATGCTTTAAAAATAATAAAAATTATAACTATAATTGCTATTTCATCTTTCAAATGTTTAATACTTGTAAAAGTATTCATTTGACATTGTGGGTTACCTATAATGCGAAGAGATGGCGCTGCCTTGCAGCTTAAGAATGGCTAGAAGAATTTCGACGCGGTCCGTGAGGGCCGCGGTAGCATAATTGGTCAGTGCATTCGCCCGGATTGCGAAGGGTGCGGGTTCGAGTCCCGTCTGCTGCCTGGTCCGCGTGGAAATTTTTTCTAGTTATATTTTCTTTAGATTTAAACATCAAGCAGTTACATGCTTTAAAAATAATAAAAATTATAACTATAATTGCTATTTCATCTTTCAAATGTTTAATACTTGTAAAAGTATTCATTTGACATTGTGGGTTACCTATAATGCGAAGAGATGGCGCTGCCTTGCAGCTTAAGAATGGCTAGAAGAATTTCGACGCGGTCCGTGAGGGCCGCGGTAGCATAATTGGTCAGTGCATTCGCCCGGATTGCGAAGGGTGCGGGTTCGAGTCCCGTATGCTGCCTGGTCCGCGTGGAAATTTTTTCTAGTTATATTTTCTTTAGATTTAAACATCAAGCAGTTACATGCTTTAAAAATAATAAAAATTATAACTATAATTGCTATTTCATCTTTCAAATGTTTAATACTTGTAAAAGTATTCATTTGACATTGTGGGTTACCTATAATGCGAAGAGATGGCGCTGCCTTGCAGCTTAAGAATGGCTAGAAGAATTTCGACGCGGTCCGTGAGGGCCGCGGTAGCATAATTGGTCAGTGCATTCGCCCGGATTGCGAAGGGTGCGGGTTCGAGTCCCGTCTGCTGCCTGGTCCGCGTGGAAATTTTTTCTAGTTATATTTTCTTTAGATTTAAACATCAAGCAGTTACATGCTTTAAAAATAATAAAAATTATAACTATAATTGCTATTTCATCTTTCAAATGTTTAATACTTGTAAAAGTATTCATTTGACATTGTGGGTTACCTATAATGCGAAGAGATGGCGCTGCCTTGCAGCTTAAGAATGGCTAGAAGAATTTGGACGCGGTCCGTGAGGGCCGCGGTAGCATAATTGGTCAGTGCATTCGCCCGGATTGCGAAGGGTGCGGGTTCGAGTCCCGTCTGCTGCCTGGTCCGCGTGAAAAAAAAAAAAAAAAAAAAAAATTCTAGTTATATTTTCTTTAGATTTAAACATCAAGCAGTTACATGCTTTAAAAATAATAAAAATTATAACTATAATTGCTATTTCATCTTTCAAATGTTTAATACTTGTAAAAGTATTCATTTGACATTGTGGGTTACCTATAATGCGAAGAGATGGCGCTGCCTTGCAGCTTAAGAATGGCTAGAAGAATTTCGACGCGGTCCGTGAGGGCCGCGGTAGCATAATTGGTCAGTGCATTCGCCCGGATTGCGAAGGGTGCGGGTTCGAGTCCCGTCTGCTGCCTGGTCCGCGTGGAAATTTTTTCTAGTTATATTTTCTTTAGATTTAAACATCAAGCAGTTACATGCTTTAAAAATAATAAAAATTATAACTATAATTGCTATTTCATCTTTCAAATGTTTAATACTTGTAAAAGTATTCATTTGACATTGTGGGTTACCTATAATGCGAAGAGATGGCGCTGCCTTGCAGCTTAAGAATGGCTAGAAGAATTTGGACGCGGTCCGTGAGGG